GGGGTCTCACTGGACCAACTTGATTTTCATGCAAACCTGCTCCTGGGTTCACATGTGGCCTTTGGTGGCCAGGCTGGCAGCTCTCCTGCCCTAGACGGCCACATTCCTGTGCCTAGTGCGGAGGTCGTGGACACTGGAGGCCTCCCCCCAAACATCGATGAGGTCCATGATCTCTGCACTAGACCAGGCATGCGCCCGCCTCTTGTGGCCCTGGGCAGGCTCCTGGGAGCCGCCAGCCTGGTCCTGGGAAGAGGCGGAGGGCTGGGTGGCAGCGGGTGGCTGGCTCATCCCATGCCAGGTGCAGGGTCTGCTGGCTGGGTGCTGGCAGGCTTGCAACTGTCACAAGCACTGTAGCCTGACCATGCCCCTTTAAAAGCTCCGGGGCCGAGAGGGGGGCAGAAGAGTTTCCCTGGTTTGGCCCAGAGTGGCCACCAGGGCAAGCTGGGAAGGGGTAGCCTCCAGCTAGTTCGAATTAAGTGGCTACACAGCCCTTAATTCAAACTGCTTAATTCGAACTAGGCGTTACTGCTCGTACAATGAGGTTTACCTAGTTCGAATTAAGCGCTCCGCTAGTTCAATTTAAATTCGAACTAGCCCCTATGAAAGTTAATTCGAACTAACAGCTGTGAGTTCAAATTACCTTTGTAATGTAGACATACCCTTATTGCTTAGAGTTCCTTATGCCTCCCTCCCGCCATCCCCCGCCCCTCCTCACTGGTTGCGTAACCTTGGCTTGAGAGAGAAGCCCAGCAGCCTTCCAGCCTGTGCTCACGTATTACAGCCAGTCACCCTTCCAGTGTGTGCTTGTGTAATACACCAAGCCAGGCAGCCTTCCAGCGTGTGCTTGTGTATTGCACTTCACCATGGCCAGCATCACTGGTAGCTCTAAAAACCACGAGGAGTCCTGTGGCACCTTAGACACGAGATCTGTTTGGGCATGAGCTTCCGTGAGTAAAACCCTCCCTTGGGTACATTGCCATGCATCTGACAAAGTGGGGTTTACCCTTGAAACCCCTGAGGGAGCAGCCACTGTACCACAGGCTTGGCCTTGCGTGCCTGGGTAGAGCATGGGCTGCAAGCGGGCAGGTTCGTTTTCCCGCAGGTGAAAGGGGGGGGCGTGGTCACGTGGCTTCCCTGTTACGGGCCCCTTGTGCCACTAGCCCTGTGGAGCTGCTGGCCCGAGTTGGCGTCAGGGAGCTGGTGCTGTGGTTTTAGTCCACGCCCCTGCCAGCACCAGCAGAGCTGAAACTACAGCATGTGGGTCTCTGCACGGAGCGGCCCGCTTGCCCTG